TTGATGTAGAATCATAAGAAAAAAGCCAAAAGAGCGGGGAAAATGGACTAACCCTCTTTTAATTGAAACACACACGCATAACATTTATAACCAAGACTTTCCTACCGTACAATGCACAGGTGAAATAATAGGTTGTAAAATACACAAATAGAAAAAATTTGCCAAACCATCTTAGACTAAATAAGACCAGAACAACAAGATTAAACTATATTTGACCCGATTAGAAAATTCAAGTCCAAGTAAAAACATCCTTATACTAAATATCCAACCGTTTATCGCACGAGTGAGATATATACTAGGTGTTGTTTATAAGGAAGTGCTTCAAAATATTTAGATTTTTTCATGTTATTTTATGTTGAATGATTTTGTTTGTTGTCCCTGAAGTGGTCATTGTAAAAGTTTTGATGTATCATTTTGGATTTCAATATTTTTGTTTTAATTAATGCAAGGTTCTTTATTTTGGCCGTGCATCGCACGGGTGAGAATAATAGTACTAAATAACTCCTCTTTCGTTTATACAATCTTAAAAGCCCCACACCCCCACCCCCACCCCCAAAAATAATACGTAGTACTTATTTCGTAATTATTAAAAATTACACTTTAATAAACAAATGAAAATATGAAATGTATGCCATGTGCTAATTAAATGTGGTGTAATAATCCAGATCAATTGGGTTCTAGAGCTTGCTACACCTCGGATCCTAAGGATCATATATCTAGAAAATGTTCAAGAAGGAATCAACAAACCTATTAGCCGACCCAGTCACCAAGAAAATCAACACCTTTAGCAACTATTCAGAATATGGAGGCTTGTTTAGAAGGACCATATATTTATCCAGTAAGGACGTCTTGAGGCAAGAGGCCTTTGAGACTAGAGTGTTGTTCACCATCTCAAGGGATGAGGCATTGATGAACCAAGTATTGTTAGATAAATACTAGTTCATAATAGAAATACTAATGTGTTGTTCGACATTGGAGACACTTTCTTTCTTTTGTATCTCTTGAATTTTTGATAGAATCTTAACGATAGCTCGAATGTTAGAATATAAGTTCACCGTAACACTTCTATCGGGAGAGATTATGTTCTCTACTCATTGGTTACGAGTGGTGCCACTTAGGATAGTAAGGAGAGAGTTATGTGTATATTTGATTGCGCTTAACATGAGATATTATGATATGATCGGCGTGACTTTTCTATAAAGATGATGATTAATGTGTTTCTGTGTTTCCGTGTTGCAGGCGAAGAAACTTATATGTAATGGATGTGAAGCTATCTTATCACACATAGTAGACAAGAATTCAACAGAACCCGTCCATCTTTCCTAAGTTCCAGTCGTCCAGGATTACAATAATGTATTCCCTAAAGACCTTCCAGATTTACCACCATGTAGGGAGATTGAGTTTGAAATCGAGCTAGCTAGTTCCTGGTACTATGTACCCCAATATCTAGAGCACCATATCGAAGTACACCTATAGAGTTACAAGAACTCCATAAGCACTTGCGGGAGTTGCTTGAGAAGGATTTTATTCTGCTCAGTTACTCGCCATCACGAGCTCCAGTATTGACTGTGAAGAATAAATATGACACAATGAGGTTATGCATTGATTACAGAGATCTGAATAAAGTGACTATCAAGAATAGATATTTGAATTGATGTTCTATTTGACTGTTTAAAGGGAGCTGTGATTTTCTCCAAGATTGATCTTCATTCATAGTATCATCAACTAAGAATAAGTGAGACATTCCAAAAGCAACATTTAGGCCAAGGTATGGACACTACGAATTCTTGGTCATGTCTTTCATCTTAACTAATGCCCCAATAACTTTCATGGATTTGATGAATAGAATATTTAAAGAGTTTCTTGACAAATTTGTCATCGTTTTCATTGATGATATTTCGGTCTACTCGAAATCCAAAGAAGAGCATGAAGACCGCTTGAGAGACGTACTGGAGACACTTAGAAAACATAAGCTATATGTCAAGTTTTCAAAGTGTGAGTCATGGTCTGATCATGTAGCATATCTTGGTCACATAGCCTCAAAGCGGGGAGTTTTAGGGGATCCTTTAAAGGTAGCAAATCTCCAAAATTGGAGCAGACTGAAGAATGAAAGGAAAGTTTGAAGCTTCTTAGACCTTGCAGGGTATACTAGGAAGTTTGTGGAAGTCTTTTCTAGTATAACATTTTCATTTACTACATTGACTTGTAATGATAATAAATTGAATGGATTGATCGCTACAAGAAGGGTTTCAAAGAGATGAAAGTTAGGTTGACATCTGCACCCGTGTTAGCACTCTCAAAAGGTAGCGAAGAGTTTGTTATCTACATTTATGCATCAAAGATGGGGCTTAGAGCAGTTTTTATGCAAAATGAATGACATATGCTTATCAATAACTCTAGGACTACGAATCGATCTACCCTACTCATGACTTGGAATTAGCAGTGGTGATACATGCGTTAAAGATTAAGAGACACTGCTTGTATGAAGTCCAGTGCAAGATCTTTACTAATCATAAAAGTCTAAAATATATTTTCACACAAAAGACCTCAATATGAGACAGAGAAGGTTGCTAGAGCTAGTAAAAGATTATGAATAGAAATCTAAAATGCCTTTTCACAGCTAGGATACACTTATCCTCGCTCAAGCTTCAATCGCTTGGGACTTAACGGTGTCTGGTCACGCCTCACGCCTTGTAAAACACTGCTCACAATTACTACATAGTACAAAGTATAATTTTTTAAAGAGAAAAGGGTCAAATAGATCTTATACTATTTCAAATTCATCATATGAGCCCTTATACTGAAAAAGTATCACAAGAGTACGCTTACTTAGAAAACGCAACCACGCAAGCCATATAAAAATTAAAAAATCAGAAAAATGAAGGAAAAATGAATTTGTAGAAAATATAAAATTAAAATTTTAAAAGCTTTTAAAAAGATGTAGAATATACAAATAATCTAAAAATTCCTAAATATAAAGTTTGGGGGTTTTACCTCAATATTACTACAAAAAGTGACCTTTTTTGTTAAATTTTCAAAAATGTGACTAATAAGTAGCTTTAAACTTACTAAATATACCATGTTCGATAGTGACCACCACTGGAAACCACCACCATCCACCACTGCTGGCCACCACCGCTATCCCCTCTCCTACATCAACCCCAACCACCTCTCCCGCCTACCCCAACCCCCAACCCCACTTCCACTGCCAGCCCCTGCTACTCCCGACCACCGCCGCCGTCCAGCAATCACCGTTGCCAGCCGGTGACTACCGCTGGACACAGTGACACCTCTATAGTGACACCTCCACAATGACTCTGGTCACTGTTACTTCTGCCACATTTTCCGAGTTCAATAGTGACCACCACCGAAAACTACAACCGTCCACCATCGTTGGCCACCACTGCTAGCCCCAGGCCCCATCACCACTTCCACTACCGAGCCCAGTTACTACTTGACAACCACTGCCGTCCTCCTCCGCCCCTGCCCAACCATCTTTCCCAACTCCTTAGCCCCATCCTTTACACACTCACTACCCCACCCCCTCACTGCATCCCTCCATAGCCTTGCACCTGTTCAGAGTAGATCCATCCCCTGAACCACCTTAGACCCACCCCACACCCCCATCGCAGCACTCACACACCTCTGAGCAACCCCTAAAATGGCGGAATCACGGTCTCTAATTGCATCTGATTATTAGAAGCAAACTCTACCCCCAACGATGCCTATTGTTGCAAAAAATGGACATTATCCATTCAAAATAGCTGGTGTAATCCTTGCTCGCCATCGTCAGGTCTCCACCATTGCCAGATCGCCGCCATCGATAGGTTGCCCTCATCGCTGGTTTTGAGATTCGTCGAACAAGAAGAGAGAAGAAAACAGAAGAGTGACATACATGTGATGTTCGTGCAGCATGGAGACGATGACGTTAAGATGGCAGCGGCGTGGAGAAGGTGATGGCGTGCGGATGGCTGCAGCTGATGGAAGGCAACGTCGCTGGAATCAGGGGCGGCTTTGTATGTTCGAAAGCCTAGGGGCGAAAAATTAAAACGGGCCTAATGTTACAAAACATTGTAGAACTCTTTTCTATCTAAATTGACATGCATAATAGTTTAGGAAAAGAAAACAATGGTGATCATATTTGTACATTTTATCAATGTTTAAGTCATATTTAAGAAAATAACTCTATTATTATCACCTCCAAAATCCCCCTCCAATGATGTAATCATTCTGAATCGTTTCACTTTTATTAGCTGAGTTCTATGGGCCTAGGGCGCCCGCCCCCTTGCACCCCCCAAGGGCCGCCCCTGGCTGGAATGCTATGAGGATAGAGAAAGGAAGGAAATGAATTAGGGTTGTAGAGCATTAAAGTCAGTGCATACATTTTCAGTAACATTTTTATCCAAATGGGATTATAGTCATATTTTTTTCTTTAATAACTCTAGGAGTAATATCTATGTCATGAATTGTTTCTAAAGGTTGACATTCTTAAATTACTCATAAACAATCTCCTCCTCTCTATCTCCTATAGCCATGTATTTGTATTTGTCTGAGATGTCCTCCATCCCTATTACCTTCAGAAAGCTTTCGCGAAAAGCTAACCAAACCGAAACAAACCTGCGGACGAAGCAAAGCAGAACCTGCGTACGATGGCTTCAAAGCCGAACCTGCAAACGAAGGCTTCAAAGCCGAAGCCCCTGTAAATTCCGAAAACGAAAAACGAAATCACAACACTAAGCCAAGAATGATGCCGAGTAATAAACTCGGAAAAACAAAGAAAGACACCGTCACCGACGGTCCTCTTCCACACCCTAAAATCCTAGGGAGTCGCCAACCATAGCTTACAATAATGAATTTATACAAAGATTTTTTTGAAAAGTGAAATTGTTCTTGTCAATTTTTCCTATTTATATTTATTCAAATTTTAATACTCCATAATTGTTTAGAGTATTTAACCCGCTTAGTGCATGATTAGATGGGTTGATACTTGATACGGAGTACTTGATTACAAAAAAAACATTTCCTAACCTAGTACTCCGTATTGTATACTCCGTCTGTGACAACACTCTCTCCACTGACCTGCAGGAGAAAAAGCAGTGATGATGAGGCGCTGTAATTCTTCTTCTCCAAAACCCATCTTTCATGTTCTGTTTTGGTTTGTATACAGTGCATATGTCTTGCCGACAATAGAGAAAGTGAACGGGGAGTCGAACAAACCCAGATCAACTTTTGCCCTTAATGTGCTCGATTTTGGAGCTGCGGGGGATGGCATTGCTGATGACACTAATGTAAGTCCTAAAGTTCTTTCTTTTCCTCGAACAAAAAGAAAAAAAAAAATAATAGTTAAGGTATGACAACTGTCGGCTGCTTCAGAAAAACACTTTCTTGATGAGTTTATTCTACAGTTCTATCAATCTATCATCTATGTGTGTAGCTGTTAATGGTGTAGTCTTTGCCACCACAACTGTACAAATTTTTAGGATTAATTTTTCCTTAAATAGGATTTAACTTTATAATGTTTGCTAAATTTTCAAAAGATCAAATGTTTTTGGTTGGATCACTTGGATGGAATTCTTATTTGGACTAAAATCATCCGACTGGGTATTTATAACTCATACTGAACATGTATCTGAACTCCAACATTAAAGATTAATTAAAGATAGGGGTGTTTTCTCTTGGATCATATCAGACTAGCTCTTAAACAAACCAAAGCATACAATATCAGACCGGAGACCGGACCAGACTTAGACAATAGTAAAATACACATAATATCATACTAGACCAGAAAATTAAGGTCCAAGTGAAAATATCCTGAAAATACCTCCACTCTCCCACCTCACTTGAGGCTTTATAGATTCACGCCTCATTTATAATACCTCCCAATCTCCCATCTCCTACCTTGTTTGGGACATGGGAAAGTAACTATCAAATTAAGGGAAAGTGTAATTGTGTAGTTGATATTAATTTTATAAAGTATGTATGATTAGCAATGACACAAATATGACCAAATGTGGCACAAGACATAGCATTTTGGGACAGACCAGAATGGAATACTGGAACAAAAATAATGGAGGTTATTTAAAAGAAGTAAGCTTCCCCCAAATTTTGGATGTACATTGGAGTGATGAAAGAGGATGCAATTTGGATGTGCAATACATCACTTGTAAATGGTTTTGTTGAGTTGGACACATATTTTCATTGGCTTACATGATTAAGTGATGATTCATAAGCTTGTAGGAGTCACATAAGAAAAAAAGTTGCAGGAGTATTTGGTTAATGTGACGAACTTTTCATGCCCAAGCAGGCTTTCAAACATGTGTGGTGGGTAGCTTGTACGTCGCAGTCTCGGGCAAATGTTATTGTTCCTGAAGGACAATTCATTGTAACACCAATTAATTTTACAGGACCTTGCATGTCAAGGGTGTCCCTCAAGGTGAGTGGTCATTATATACCATTCCTCATTCACTTAAGATTCATTTAGTGTTAAAAACATTGATGGATATCCAACATCATATGTAGCATGCCTTAAATGAAAAAACAAATGTCAGGAATATACATACACAAATACACACATAGTGACTTGAAATAACGTATTTTGTAATATTGAGTTACAATATGACCTGTAATCTTAAAAATATTATACTTTATATGCTCCAGAATTATAGAAATTTGATATGAAGAAGTGAAAATGCCTAATAGCGGCATTACCATTTACCAAAAAAGCTACTTCCTCCATCCCATTCAAAGGTTCTCACTTTCCTTTTTTTGGACGTCTCATAATAAGGTTCCCATTTCTATTTTAGGAAACAATTAACACTCTCAAAATATACTCGAATAATCTTATTTAATTATTGTCTAAATAATTGTTCCATTTTACAATGGGAACCTTTAAGCGGGAGGGAGTATTGTTTCTATTTTACAAACGTTGCTCTATTCTAGTCATTTAACATCATTGAGTGATACATTATTGACATTTTGCATGCCGATAACTTAGGTCTTTGGTTCTATTGTTGCTCCAGAAGATCCTGAGGTGTGGAATGGTTTGGATAGAAATAAATGGCTCTATTTCATGAATGTGAAACACTTGACTATAAAAGGGAGAGGAACGATAAACGGGAAAGGACAGAGATGGTGGGACGAGTCTTGCAAGATCAACAAATCAAATGTAGGTTCTCATCTCCTCTTTTATAGCATTTTATCCTTCACATTTTAAGCAAACCTGTTTTCTTTTGCTCTGATGAGTAATCATCTCGTGAGATATGTTAAGTCATACACTCGAATAAAATATACATAAAATAACAAACTAACATATATAAATTTAGGATACTCATCATATAAGGACTATTTGCAACCGTATATTGAATCATTTGAATGTCTAGAAACTAATGTCATGTTTCTCTTTTGGCAGCCTTGTCGACATGCTCCAAAGGTCAGCGTATGCTCATTGCAATCTATTTAAGGAAAGAGGGAATGATACTTATAAAAGTGTCTCCAATCAGTGCAGGCAATGACTTTCCACAAATGTAATTACTTGAGAATCAGGGGCCTTTTGATGGTAAACAGTCAACAGATGCACTTATCACTTACCAGTTGTGTAAATGTCACAGTCTCCCGTCTTAGGATCTTAGCGCCTTCTCATAGCCCTAACACTGATGGGATTCACATAAGTACATCCTCACGTGTCACCATCAAGGATTGCATTATTGGCACAGGTTTGCTGTCCTTCAAGTTTAATCACGTCATATTTGCAAGCCACTCTATTTCTAGTAATGTGTTTCAAGTATGTTATGCCTTTTCCAATCTGGAGTTGACACACACACATGTGTCCCACGCCTTTAGATGTGTTGGTGCTTGCAAATTATACTGTTGGTTTGGTACACCGTACACCTTTCAACTTAATATAGTGAATATACAAATGCTGCTATTCTTTTTTTTGGATAAAATGTAAATGTATTCATCATCATTATCATCATTACCCCAGTGCCACAAAGGCTCCCACGTACAGTGGTGTAAGGGCCTGGGGGGTCGGATGTACGCAGTCTTACCCATGTACTAAAGCACAGAGAGATTGTTTCCGGATGACCCATGGTGAAAATCGCGTCAGAAATTGCATGAGTTGACTGCTGCTTCATAACAAAGAAGCGCAGACAGTTTAATGAGCCATTTTGCTTTATTCCATCATATTCACAAGCAAAAAAATAGTGAATCTTTGGCTCCATTGCAAATAATGGAAGAATAAAATGTAAATGCATTATATCCAGAAAATAGCATATACAAATGCATCACAACTATTTAAGCTAGTCTAAACTAACTACAAATAGTAACCCCCCACCCCCACCTAATGAAAGGCGGGAGGAGATGTTTTAAGAGGCGCAAAACTCACTAGCACGGGACAGCTCCCCAGCTCAATATCCAACAAGTCCATAACTGGCACGGGACATATCCACCGGCTCACAAATGCTGCTATTCTTGAATTGATTGTTAGTGACTGAAACTGTAATGATGATGTGATAAAGTGAAAGCAGGAGATGACTGCATATCCATAGTTGGAAACTCCTCGTGGATTCGTATAAGAGGCATTACATGTGGTCCAGGCCATGGTATAAGGTATCCTAATTTGACTTGTGTTCTCTTTTCCAAAACTTGTTCATTCAAATCTGCCAGGTAAAAATGGTACTTCATCGGGAATTTGCCTACATATTATTCATCATATCATATAAGAGTTGAAGTTCTTTACCTCATTGGGCTTACACTGCCAGTATTGGAAGCTTAGGAAAATCATCTTCATGGGATAACGTGCATGACGTTAGTGTAATAGGAGCATTTTTTTCAAATACCAAGAACGGGGCAAGGATTAAAACGTGGCAGGTAAATATTCTTGTGAGTTTTGCACAGCATGTTTACCTCAATATTCACTTTCCACCCACCATAATTTGTTTTCTTTGACTTTACATCCTGATGGGGTTCATTGTTAAACTTTGGGGTGAACATCAGATGCAATTAACCGATTTTTCTGGCGTAGATGGGGGGGGGACCTAGGCCCCGGCCCCCACCATTTTTTTTATGAAACATCCCACACCAAATTTTAAATACGCCTTAATTATTAGTGTTAAATATTTCGAGTAAAAAGTATTCCAATAAATTTCTTTGTATCAACCCAGTCCGGCTCAATGTTCTGACTATGCCCCTGGTTGCACCCCATGTTTATCTCAACTCTTGAGAGTTGAGAGTGAACCCTATGCGGAGCAAAGTTAAAGATAACAAAAGATGGGGCATGAAGTCTAATATTGACAAGATGAGGTTTTAAATGCCAATTTCCCTAATAACATAATCTTTTTCCAACCGGTAGGTGGATGATCTTTCTTAAGTTGTGAAACAAAATATGTCACGACTCGTAAGGGACCATAGTTTTGCATTTGTTCTTTTGAGTCTGCTAATGCAAGGGAAGATCCCTTTCTTTTACTACTTAAAAAACAGGGAGGTAGCGGTTTTGCAAGGAAGATTAGTTATGAGAACATTATGATGAAGAATGTCTCAAATCCTATTATAATAGATCAGTACTACTGTGATTCATCGAAGCCATGTCTAAACAAGGTATATGTATACCTCACTTATTAGTCCTAAATAGGAGTAAACTAATTCCTAAATGCACATATAGGACTATGATGTTTATCTTCCTAAAATAGGACTAAAGTATATTCTATCTTCCCAAAGCTAAGTCTTACTTCAAGTTGCAATAAAAATATAAAAAAAATTATAATAAAATCGTAAAAAAGTATAAAATATTTAAAAATAAATAATATAAATCAAACACATAAAAAATATAAACAAAACATGGAGGCCTTTTCCACAGCCTCTGCCACGCCCTCAAAAAGGCCACTTCTGGTCGGGGGGAAATGTCATTTTTGTGTAAAAACCACTTTTCTTGAAATACATTGAAGATAACATTATTACTCTTTCAAAATGTCAAGTTTTTCTCTAAACTGCCTTCACGCTGGTATTACTTATACATGTTGGCATTTTTCCCAGTGGGAGGTGATTGAGACGACGACAGAGACCTACATTTTTTTGGTTGGACTTTCTCTCTTTCTTATAGTATCTGTTCTTTTAAATGCCAACTTCCTTGATTGAGATGAGTTTCGAACCTCTGACCTCCTCCTTGGGAGTGTCACAGTGATGCCATCGAACCACAGGGTGCTTGGCAGAGGCTACATTTTTTACATTTTTATTTTTTATTTTTATTAATTTTATTTAATATTTATTTTTCGTTCTTTTTTACATTTTTATTATAAATAAAGTTATGTTATTACTTTTATGTTTTAATAATTAATGAAAGTATGAATTGCATTAAAATTAAGCATGGGTAGGATTGGAAAGCTACTCTATTTAAGGAATTTTTAAGTTATACTCCTATTCTTGCAATTTAAGTTTCATTTTGTCCAAAGGAAAAGAGAAATAGCCTTAACCACAAAAATATTACTTTAAATGGAAATGACTAAGTAAGAAAAATTGTCAAAGTTTTATGGACAAAAAGAGTGTGAGGTATGGAGCATTAAATTATAGTCACATTCCTAATACCTCAGTTTCATTCTTCTAGTAATTATGGACCCTAGTCCCATGTAAACGCGTGCACACACATTGTTTATAAATGATGGATTCAATACAATTGTTCATTGAGTATTACCTTTGTTCTAAAAATCGTTCTAGGCGTCCGACTAGTCCACGCCTAGGCGGTGGCCGGGCGCCCCGATTTTCGTCTAGGCACTCCGACTAACTGGCTTGCCGTCTAGGTGAATTAGTCGGCCGCCTATGGCGCCTATTTGCCCGCCTAGAGCGCCTAATTGGCCGCCTAAGCCGTCTAGATTCACCAAACATTACTTTATTTTTTAATTTAAATTTTCTAAGCGATATACGTACTTTAGCTTTAGCCATGAATATAATGAAATGAAGTTGTAAATTAAGATATGTTTGTATATATGGCTAAATTTCATCATTATTTATATCTATAAGACTATAGCATACTGAAGTTATTAAGTGATTAGTTATCATATACTACGTATGATTAAATGTGATAATTCTATCATTCATGTTTGTTAATGTATATGTATATATGTAGTTTATACACACAAAAATATGATATTACTTATCATATTTATGCAAAAATATAGATAAAAATGTAATTTCTTTGTCTCCGACTAGTCCCCGCCTAGGCGGCGCTAGGCTGGCGCCCGATTAACGCCTAGCGCCTTTATTACAATTTCTACACTTGCCCTACAAAATGAACACAATAGCAACATTAACAACTTAGTGATTATTTAAAGTTTGTAGTTATTAAGCCATCCCATGCAGATCAACACTTAGGCTTTAAATTGTCTCTCCTTTAAAGCTAACCACTTAGCGTGAAATTGCAAATCTGAATATTGGTGATAATTTCTAGGGCTCTCAAGTCTTAACCCATGACCATCCATATAGCCCTAATGCCTGCATGTAAAAAGGAATAACAAGCTTCTATTTGCAGACTTCAGCAGTTGGTATAAGTAATGTGGCATTTATGAGAATTAAAGGAACTTCTGCTACAATGGAAGCGATACGAATAGCCTGCAGTGATACCTCCCCGTGCAGGAAGATATTCTTCAAAGATGTTGATCTCATTTCGTCTTCCGGCGGGACGTCTTTCTACTGCTGGAATGCTTATGGGTCCACCGAAAATCTTGTTTACCCCACGCCATGTTTTCCTTGTGCTACAAGTATGGTTCAGCCTACTATCATCCAACACACTAGTAGTAGTAGTAGTATTCTCTCAATGTAGTTATACTATTGTGGTTTCACACTAAAACTTCAATGCAACACTGTAAAGAAATAACATCTATTTGTCTATACAATAATGCTCTATATAAGAACTAACTTGCATTTTAGACGTTATTACTTGTCTCAAAAAATTCTTGTATGTAGTTCTAATTTGTAAGCTTTCAAGTGTCAACTATACATGTCACAAAAAGTGGAAGATGTTACTGTGAATGCATTTTAGACGTTATTACTTGTCTAAAAAAATTCTTGTATGTAGTTCTAATTTGTAAGCTTTCAAGTGTCTCAACTATACATGTCACAAAAAGTGGAAAATGTTACATTGTTACTGTGAACATATTTCTTCGAGGCTACTCATTCTTTTCATTTTCGTCTAAGTTGTAATGATGATGTGACAAAGCGAAAGCAGGAGATGGCTGCATATCCATAGTTGGAATTTGGAAACTCAAAGCACAATGGAAATTTTGAAAAAACCAGATGTGTGACCTTTAGATGTTCATAAAAATAATAATAAACGCATGCAGAGAAGACATGATTTATCAATATAAGAAATCACACTATTGTCATGTACTCCATTCATGTAATTGATCGATTTCTCCATATAGAACTGGAATACCTCTATTGTATTTATTACTAAAGACATACTTTGTTAGATGCCAAAATCGAAGGAGGGAATTTGATGTATATTAACAACGTAATTGAAGCACAGAGTGAAACGATACACGCTTAGGCACTTAGAGGCTTAGAGCAGCCTATCTCTCCGAAAATCCCAGCCCAAGTCTCAAGTTCTGCCTGCCTTTATTCTACTCCCTAAACTCCTATTTATTCTTTTCCATTTGGGCTAGCCCAATTCTATCTAATTCAGGGCCTAAACCCCTTTATTGTACAATATTAAAAGACTAATATTATTCATATTACTAGTACTATCTAGGTCTCTATCACTAGTCACTACTCCCCCCTTTGATAACCACTTTGCCCTCAAGGTGGTGAGTGAGAACCAGTCATGCCATTCAGCCTCATCCTTGCGCCTCTCCCTTCCCAGTACCTCCTTGATTTCTGGGCTAGGGCTTTACTTCTTGAATCTTCATCATCACTTCCTCAGCCGCATATTCCCCTAAGATTTTCACAGCTTTGCAGCCTTCACTTGCCCAGAACCTAACTTGATGAGGAGAACCTCCTGAGGTGGCCTTCGAGATGGCCCACGCAGCCTCCTTGATGTCAATTTCTGCATTTGAAAGGAGATGTACCACCGGAACAGTGATAGATGCCTCAATGACTGATTGAAACTTATCCTTTGGTCCATCCAATAGATACGATCGAAGGTGCCCAACAAGCATCTGTCATAACTTCTTCCTCACTCATATGGACTAGATGATGGACTGGCAATGCAGCTTTGACCAGGTCAAGTGGTGAGGGTGGCTGGCCAGTCTGGCTGTAACAGAAGCATAGCAAAGTTATGTAGCGTTTATCAATATAGAATTCTTTGCAGGTGCATTTAACTGACCTAGCAATGATACGAGTGAACCATGACATATAACCAGGTCCCTACAGGTTGGAGCATCACCAGCAGAACCAAATAATGGTGTGAGGATGTGAGGATGCAAGATCAGCATGCCCTGCTTCAGCACGAACCTGCCATTTGCCTCCCAAACAACCTTTAATAATTCCACTTACATTCCAGAATACTATAACCAGTTTATACATACTGTCTAGCCCATTTGATGCAGTGAGTTCATCTTCACAGGAAACCTGTCCAATGCGTGCAAGGGCATTTGCTACCCCACACAATCTTCTTATCTCAAAATGCATTAAACACTAGATTTGGATTTATACTGGCGGAATCAACATCAATTGATAATAAAGCTTTATTTCCTTCAACAGAAGTGCAATCACCTGAAACTCCTCTCGATGGTTTCGTACTTTGACGCAAACTGAGAGAATCTTTTCGCGATGGAGCCAGATAATTGGAAAAAGTTGCTCCCAACAGCGAAGAAGACCTGCGCACTTAGAGATGATACTTGGGTACTGGGAGAAGCCGATTGCGACTCATCCTGAGAACTCAGAACAACGGATAGAGACGAAGTCTGCGAGCTGTGAGGATAGGCGAGCACAAAAGTCTGTGAAGGAGGATCTTCGGCTGGCGAGGAAGCTAGCGCACTGTGAGTTGCTTCAGATGCCATTTGTGAACTGGTAAAATCTGCCCGCTTTGAAGTCTGCGATGACGATGAGCCCTGGTTTTCCAACTTCCGACGACGTCTAGGAGGACTCCTCACTCAGCCTCTAGGTCGACGGCGATTTTGATTCCTCGCGCGCAGATCGGCCAACATTTTCTTCCATCATTCCACACATGTCGTGCATCTTCTCCCTAACCGATCGCCACTCTGTGGAGTTGCACTCCATCTTCTGCGCTAGATTTTCCAAGCGATGATTGAGATTAGCCACAGGAGGAACTGCTCTTGATACCATTTTTAGATGCCAAAATCAAAGGAGGGAATTTGATGTTTATTAAGAACGTAATTGAAGAACAGAGTGAAACTATACAGGCTTAGAGCATCTTTAATGGTAATGTGGATTGCACCCCACAAAAAATGGACACGTAATCGCTATAGACGGCCCGTGAAGCTGATATGGACGGACATCCAATTTCAATCCGATTGCATCTCCAATGGAATCAATCGTTTTTCTATTCTTTAAATAATACGGAGTACCTAACAACATTTAAATTAATTACTCTCCAAGTCTGCATATATATCCAAAACATATACGTAGTACTTCGTACGTAGTAAACCACATATATACATAGTCTTCTGCCACTACGGCCGGGAGGAGGAGCGCCGTCGTATGTCGCCACAAAACTCCCTAGCTAACCAATTCATGTATTTTTTTTTTATGTAATATATAAATATATTTGTATTCGTTCAGATATACGAAGTATGACTCAAATGCACAAAAACTACAATGCTTTTGAAACTCCTCAGCACAGAAGCATAAATAAAACTTTCGTTGTCTCTTGTGAGCATACACCAAATCCATGGCGGTCACTGTCTTCCTCCTAGCATAGTAGCATGCTGTATATGTAACCACATCATCAATGACAATTTCGAGGGGAAGATCTTCATAAGCACACCTCCTAGGTCTCTTCATAAATGGACCTCCATTTTTGAGCGCCGGAAAATAAAATGAGCCCGAGAGGAGATCGTCGGAGCAAAAAGGGGCTGCCGGCTGCTGCCGCGTAGACGACGAGCGACACCGTATCACAAAACGCTGATATTCGTCTATATGGTGGTCACTTTCTTCCTCCATTTCAACAGTCTCTTCATAAATGAAACCACCATTTTTCCAGGTGTCGGAAAATAAAACGAGCCGGAGAAGAAGGTCGCTGGAGTAAAAGGGGATGCCCAGTTGCCCACCGCCACCGCTTAGGCGAGGAGTGCCGTTGTATCACAAGGACGGGACTGCTATAGGATGTGAGATTGTTGTCCTTGTTTGGTTACTACTGACTACTGAGTACTGAAATCGGGTGTTGCTTTGCCGGAAAGGAAAAATTGAAGGAGCTCTTTACTTTTGTAGGTGTGCCGAAGAACTCCACATTTGTATAAATATGTCCGAAAAAAAATAATTAAAATACTCCGTAAATAGTTGAATAAATGATTTGATGACATGGCTGTTTGCTGGCCTTGCTGAAAGTAGAAGCCCGGGTAGACAGCCGCTCCTATTTTTCATTCCAGCTCAGCAACACAGAATGAATGCATGTTTCCGTTGGAGTGAGTAAGTTTAGCTCAAGGTCTCTATAGCTCACGTGGCAATTCATTTTTAAAGGATCCACAGCCCCACTACGGATGCTCTTAGGCACTTAGAGCAACCTATCTCTTCCAAAGCCCCGAGTCCCAACCCGTCTCAAGTTCTGTTGCCTCTATTCTACTCCTCCAACTCCTATTTATTCTTTTCCATTTGGGCTCGCCAATGCTATCTAATTCAAGGCCTAAACCCCTTTTATTATACAATACTAAAAGACTAATATTATTCTTATTACTAGTACTATCTAGGTCTCTAACTCTCTATCGAATTAAAACAATGTCAATAACTTGAACCAAACCCAACCATTCAGAGGATAATGTAACAATTTAGAACGCACAGAAAACAATATAGCAAATCACCGATACACATGAAAAACATCAAATTTAAACAAAATCAGGAAAAATGATGAAATAACTACACATCAACTAAGATAGGTTTTACAGCGAAGATTTTAAAAAATATGATATTCAGAATACTCAAATACAGTTCATGAATAGTGAAATTAAACATGATTAAATTAGATAGAAATACCTGTAATTGTCAACGACAAGAGCATACGCATGGCATGGGCGCATTGGCATAAGCATGACCATAGGCATATACATAGACATAAAACATAGACATGAGACAAACAGACATACACATAGACATAAAAATAAACATAAATATGTTGTTCATCATGGTCACACCCAAAAGCACAACCACGAGATTGCATTGATTTTTGGCACAAGTTCTCAAGTCAATCTGCATGTGTAAATATAAATTGAAACATAAATGTAAACGCTATTAAAATTAACATTGATATCAAAATTAACATTGGTATTTTGGCACAAATTTTCAAATCAATTCTCCCTTGCCCATTTCTAAAATCGCAGCCATAGTATGCATAGGAATTTCACTTTTTGTGTATACCAAACCACACATACCATACACCGTAATTAAGTAGAAATGCTGAAATGTAATCATCCTATATCCTGAATAAAACATGACAACAGCGGAATTGCTATAAACAGCTAATCTTTAATGGAATCTGGATAACAATAAAAACAGGAGGGATTTTAGCCAGAAACAATATTGCAAAAATGTAGAGCTCCTCTCTTCTCTGGTGTGTATGGAATCCATTCTATCTTATAGACCCTTCAGAGATGGAAGAAACCTTGCACACCCCGGCTGAGGTAGTGAATGGAATATTTTTGTAGCAGGCTACCAACTCATTGTTAGTGTGGAGATCCACTTGAACGGTTTCCCAAACCTTCTTCTTGGGGTTCAATACATCATCAGGCTTGCACTCAAATCCCTGAAACGTAACATGTTCGCCAACTGCAGCACCTTCAGGTGGCTCAACTAACTCAACCTAGCACCAATAAAACAACAGATAAACATTTTAGGATTCGAGAGTAAACTTTAATTAAATTTTAATGTGTACAGTTGGATAAAATTCTAGTAGCTCATAACTGTGCGTAGTGTGATTGAAGTTAGGTTGGGTTGACACATGTAAGTCAAACCACACTAAAAAGATTGAATTTGTTCTGTTAGCTCATTCAATTTAATGTCATAATAACTCATCATTATCTCGTTAATTTCTCTGATGTGAGATTATAAAGCTACCCTTAAGTGGGCAACCAGATTTTTTAATCCAGATGGCTGGCCACTTGCAAATTGCATTGTCCCATCCCCTGAAACTAAAATTCGAAATGCAGCAGCGAACACTTAAAAGACCAGGTTGGACATCCACACAGAAGACCGAAGACTCATAGACCAAAATCTTATATGTTGGTTTGTTAATTCATATCCGGGCGATGTGGAAACTTATTCAATCACGGTAGACCCTGCATGTGGATCGTTTGTTTTTTTTCATCTCATAAGGGCATACTTCACAACCCAGCCATCATCTGCGTGTGCTATTTCTATCAAAGGGCACATACCCCGAACTTTTGAAGGGTGTGAGGTAAGCCCCCAAACTTGCATATCTAATATAAGTACCCCAAACTTTATATAAAAAATCTTAGCACCATGATCATGTGTTTATTCTTTCACAAATGTAAAATAATAGTGTTGAGTAAATAATTTATACATCCTCAGCGTTTTTAATGTGCAATTAACATTATAAACTTAATTGTTAATGTTATTCATTTCAAATATTGAAGCTTAGATTAATATTTTCATCCTTATAAATGTCCAAAGTATTTTAAATTTTAAATTTTAGCACTATAAGTTTACATTTGTGAAAAAAAATCAGATGGTGCTAAGATAATTTTTTATATAAACGTTGGGGTATTTTTATTACATATGTAAATTTGGGGTGTTTACCTCTCACCCCTTAAAAGTTTGGGGTATTTAAGTTATTTTCCCCAATACTAACCCATTATGAAATAATCAAATAGTTCTCTGCCTAACCTTTAATCCCAGACTTTTTCACAGATTGTAATATTTACAGTGTTTAACTTGCAAATTTGCACTAGTGTTTAACTTATTCATTCACATCATCCAAGTATCCATTAGTGCCATAACTGTCAATTATTCAGGAATTCAGGATGGATTTCTACATTCTGCAAATGACATGCACAATTTCACTTCTATTCAGGATCATCGACATTTTTAACAACCCAATACAGGTATCTATACAAAAAACTAAACACACTGTATAGCATCAACTAAATATACAGACAAACTAAGCATAAAACATAAACCGATCAAACAAACATAAAACATAAAACTTACGGTATAACTTAAACTACAAACATCATCATTTTCATTTACCCCAGTGCCGCAAAGGCTCCCCACCTATGGTGGGGTAAGGGGGGGTTGGATGTACGCAGTCTTACCCCTGTACTAAAGCACAGAGAGACTGTTTCCGGATGACCCATAGTGAAAATCGCGACCAAAATTGCATGGACTGTCCGTTGCTTCATAACAAAGAAGCGCAAACAGTGTAGTGAGCCATTTTGCTTTATTCCATCATATTCTCAAGCCAAAAAATAATAAATCTTTGGCTCCATTGCAAATGATGGAAAATCATAAAAGTGATAAAGCAACATAAAAGTGATAAATTCACATAAAAGTAATATCATAATAAATATTACAGCATACATAATATGATAATAAACATACTGTCATAAGCCTAACTTCAAGTATTTAATACTCCCTCCGTCCCTTTTTATTTAGCCAAACACTATTTTTCAAGTCAAAGTTGTTCAACTTTGAAAATTATATGAAAATGTTTTTTGTTAAAAATACTATCATAAAAGTATAAATTTAACTTTCACATAAATATGTTAGTTAAAATATTGGCTCAAAGTTTATCATCTTTGACCGAAAAAAGTCAAAGATGGCTAAGGATGTTTTTACTTGGACTGTAATCTGTCCCATACCAGACCAGACTTGGATAGTTATAAAAATACATAGAGACCAGACCAGTTCAGACCAACAAATTACAGTCCAAGTAAAAACATCTTAAATAAAAAGGGACGAAGGTAGTAATACAGTTTTCGATATTAATATTATACTCCCTCCGTGAAGTAATTAAGTTCCTAGTTTGACTTCATAATTTTTCTTAGGCAAAATAACAATTTAAAATTACTTGCCAAGTATGCCCTTCCCTCAAAAGTATGAAAGAGAAAATTAATAATTATTGATGTAACTTTCATAGGGATAAAAGAGTATTTGCCACTCAAATATTACCAAAAAGATAAGTAGGAACTTGATTGTGGGGATCCCAAAAAGAAAAGTGGGAACCTTATTGCAGGACGGAATGAGTAATACTCACTATATACCAATATAATGAATATACCATAATATGGAGTATTATGATATTACTATGTTAGTCTTGACAGCAAGGTAAAAAGAAAGAAGGACATTTTTTTTGCAAACAGAACCTTGGTTATTATTAACTTGAAATTTAATATAATACTACCTCCATCCCGTTGAGAGGTTCACATGACAAAACGGCACGGTTATTTAGGGAATAATTAAATAAGGTAGTTTGAGTGTATTTTTAGAAATAATTTTAATAGGTATACAATATAATGTGTTTAGTATTGATAACTGTGATGTTAGAAATGTATTATTTTTAATAATAAATGATTAATTTTTCATTTAAGATTGTTAATTGTTTCCTAAAATGAAAATGGGAACCTTTAAATGGGACGTCCAAAAAAATGGGAACCTTTAAATGGGACGTCCAAAAAAGGAAAGTGGGAAACTTTCTGTGGGACAGAGTACAAAGTGTTAGAATATACATATTTAATAGTCAATATATTCTATGTATATATTTGGTAGCTAATATATTCTCTGCGATAGACTAAATATTCTATGTAAATCTGGCAGATTTAGTTTCCTTTTGTATTCTCTAGCCTATATGTATATATACTGGTTCTACCCAATGAATAAAAATATAGTGATTTCATTCCATCTTTTATCCCTATTACTCAGTTTACATGGTATCAGAGCCACACAGGTTTTTCGGGTAGTACTTCCCGAAGTTCGACTCTGTTCCCTCCCTCTGGTTCGATTCAGCCTTCTTTTGTGCGGTGTAGGACGTTTCTCGCACTTCGCAGGTCTGATTTTGTTTTCTGGACACAATCTGCACCGCATCTCTTGTTATCACTCTTGGCCTAGTTGTTTGCAAGCATGGGTGATGATAAGAAGAGTGTGACTGAAATTACGGTCGGTAATGCTAGAATTACCGAGAGAAAACTGACTGGTTGTAAAGATTACGGGCAGTGGAAACGGACTATTACCAGGTATGTTAATAGTCTTGATCTGGGAGATCATCTAAGTGAAATGGCTCCTCCACGAAGTCATCCTGATGAAAGAAAGAAATGGATGATGGCCGATGATAGATTGTTCAATCAAATTCAGAATACCCTGGATCCTTCTATTGATAGTATCATTACTCACTGTGATACTGTCAAAGAAATGTGGGAATACTTGGAGTCTATGTATGCTAGTAAACAAGATCTCTCTTATGTTCTACAATGAATGTAAACAGATTTTTGAAGAAAAGCGGTCCCGATTCCCTATAACTGCTGATGTTAAGAGTATGCAAGAACAAGAGGAGCGAACATTTGTTCATGGTGTTTTGGCTGGGCTTGGTCCACAATATGAGGTATCAAGGAGTCAAATATTATCTGGTGGGACCCTTCCTAGTTTTTCTGACCTCTATGGACGTCTCCTTCCAGTGTGCAAAGATGGAGAATCCAGAATGATGAACTCGATTGATACTGCTGCCTTAGTCAGTGATGTGAGCCGTGGTAAAAGGACCAATTCAGTCACTACTGAGGGGACTCATAATTCTTCTCGCACATGTTATCACTGTGGAGCTGAGAGTCATGTGAAGAAGAATTGCTGGAAATTACATGGTCGTCCACAGGCGTCTGGACAGTTTCCTCCCAGGCGTGTTGCTAATACGGCTATCCAGGATGGTATCCTACCAACTCCTTCCACCGTTACTATCTCAGCCGATGAATATGCTCGGCTACTACAACTTTCTCTCACAGCCTCATCTGCCAGACCACAAGTTGATACAAGTTGATACAGGTAATCCTGCTGCATGCCTCTCTACATCATCACGCAATTGGGTGATCGATTCTGGCGCAACGGATCATATGACTGGTAATGAAAATATTTTGTCTTCATTTACCTCTTCTGCTAACCAGTCTCATGTTACTTTAGCAAATGGATCAACCACAACTGTCAATGCCTCGGAACAGCAACTCTTTCTCCAAACCTTTCTCTATCTTCTGTTTTATATTTATCTCAATTTCCATTTAATTTAATCTCAGTCAGTCAGATTACTAAAGCCCTAAACTGCTGTGTTATTTTCTTTCCCACCCATTGTCTTTTTCAGGATCTTGGGACGAAGCAGATTATTGGTAAAGGCAGACTGGTTAATGGCTTATATGTTTTTGAATCCTTGGTACCAAGATCAGTTGCATGCACAAGTTCGTCTTTGTTGAAAGTTCACTGTCAATTTGGTCATCCATCACTTTCTGTACTACAAAAATTGTGTCCTAGTCTGTCACGGGAGTCTGTTTTGGAGTGTGAAGCATGTCAGTTTGCTAAGCATCACAGAACAACTTTCCGTCCTCGAATAAATAAAAGTGTTGAGTCTAGTTTTGATTTAGTTCACACTGATGTGTGGGGTCCTTGTCCTGTCGTTTCCAAACTTGGTCATCGTTATTTTGTTACATTTGTGGATGATTTTTCACGGGTTACTTGGCTTTATCCTTTGAAATCCCGTTCAGATGTGTTTACTGCATTTTGTACCTTTCATGCTGAAATTCAAACTCAATTTAATAAGAATATACGCATTCTGAGAAGTGATAATGCTAAAGACTATCTATCTAGCACTTT